GGCCTGACAAACAATTTTATGTAAACTTGAATTCAGAATGCAAAAACGACCAATTATATTGCCAAAATATGTTACTGTCACCTTTACGATCATGATTGTAATGATCACCTTTACGATTCTCTGTAACTTCTGTTGCTGTTAGAATAGCAATATTTGGTTTTACTGTAATTTTGTGATAATTTCTGCAAAATTAGAAATAAGTAAAAGCTTGTATGACAATATGACAGTTACTAAACTGGTCAGTAATGTTTTTAATGTGCCACCATTGTCCTATCTCAAATGTCTGAAAACAACTGAGCAATTTATTGTCATAAAAACCCACAGATGTCATTAGGTGTGGATGCTGTCAGTGATGACTGTCACATTTTTTATTTTTTTATTTTTTAGTGACAGAGACAGAATCTATCAGTTTTTATTTTTGTTTAAAGCACTGATTTTCTTCTTCTTCCTTCTCCTTTCTTTCTTTTTCTTTGTTTGTTTGTCCCTACAAGTGTATGGGTGTCAAAGAGTTCATAAATCATCTGCACATCATCTCGGGCAAACAGACAAATATCTGTCCGACACTAGGTGGCGCTATGATGAGATGATTTGTTGTTGGATCAGAGCAGAGCCCCTGAATCCTTGAGTCGAGTCCTACAAAAGAGTTTGGTGCCATTAGTGTTTGGATATCGATGATTGCTGCTTGTACATTTTTTCTTTGATTGCGATTATGATTGTGTTCTTTTTTCTAAAAGATTAAGGAGAATGCATGTTTGATTTTTTTTGCACCTGCTTGTAAGGAGTGAAACAAATTAGAAGGTGCAGTCATCATCATTTTGATGAGCCATTATTTTAGAGATCAAATTGGAATAAAAACAACTGAATTTGCATGTCATATATGCAAATTAAATATTTAATTGTGAGACTGATAAAAGTAAAAACATTCTCTATCACTCTGAAAAATACTGGGTTAAAAACAACCCAGTGCTGGGTGAAATAAGGACAAACCCCACAGGACATACCTTCTGGGTAGTTTTATTTAACGCAACTATTGCTTAAAAATTACTATATTTCTTGCTTAAAATAAACCCAAAATAGGTTTGAAATTAACATAATAGTTGAATAAATAATAATATAAATAATACGCTTATGTTTTATTTACAGTTGACTATTGCCAAGAAATGATCAGCATTTATTTCTATTTTCGGGGTTTTGGATCAGGGTGGAAAAAACAGCATCTCTTCGACATAGTGACAACATGCTACTAAAGCTGCTCTTCTTCCTTGTCTGCGTTTTTTTTATTTTCTTAACAGTCTATAGCAGGGGTCACCAAACTTGGTCCTGGAGGGCCGGTGTCCCATATTCCGTGGGCGGGAATTATTTAAATGAGTGACATTGTGACTTCTCAATATCCGTAAGAAGCGCTTTGTAGTTCTTGAAAATGAATGTTAAATGTTAAAGAGAATATGACAACATTGCACTTTGAGCTTTGTAACCATGCAGATCTTTTTCATTCTTAAACAGCAACATTACTAGGTAAGATCCTCTCTCTCTCACACACACACACACACACACACACACACACACACACACACACACACACACACACTTTTTCTTATTTTGTTTCTTTGGTGATTTTTAAGTAATTATGTTAAAACTGGATGCATCCAAAGACTGAAAAACCTGTGGGAGTCAGATGTGTGGTTACATGAAGGCAAATCAGTAATAAAGATATAATAAAATATACATTTTTAATTGCTTTGGCACTGTTTTCACAAGTCAAAATTACACTTTTTAAACATATCAGCATATTTTTATTTGTGTGTGTGTGTGTGTACAGAGGTTATTTGTCCTCATAGTAAAACCTGTTGAACACCAATAAAGTCATGCATCTACCTAAATCTAGTGTTTTGCACATTTCTGTGGACAGGGTTCAGGTTAGGCCAGTGGTTCCCAACCCAGGGGTCGCTAAAGATTTACAAAGGGTCATCAAGCTCACATTGAGGATTACAAATAGGGATGAAAAGGTTACAGCTGACGACAAAACCACAATACAATTCGGAATGGTTATTACCCATTAACATGGTAACCTGATATAAAAACAATGGAAGCATATGAGATGTCCTCACTAATGTAGTGAAACAAATGTTTGTGTGTTCGTATGTTTGTGTCCAGTTGCAGTTGGCTTGGAACCCAAAACAAATTAACAAAATGAACACAATCAGTGGTATGTTTAAATCTTTTGTTGCATCACTGCTATTTTCTAAAAAAAAAAAAAA